TTATCTTGCCAGGAAAGGAAAGAGGAGCTGAAAAAGCTGATGCTCTTGCTGTAAAAAAACTGATGCTCTTGCTTTAACTTTGCCTAGCGATGTTAAGAGTATATTAATCTAACTATAATTGCGTGTGTTTTAATCCTGCACAGAGGTTCTCAAATGAAATGAGTATGTAAATGATAGTTAGTTGTCTTTTTCTAAATTTACCATAAGTTCCTCCTCTGAGTTTGCAAGGGACAATATAGAAATAAGCAAAGCTTCTTTTTTTTTTTTTGGGTAGAAAAGTGGGACGCTAAAAGAACGCCCCTGCCTGTCACTTAAATCAAACGGGTTTGGGCAATGTCCAGCGTATCGTACAAGACCCAAAAAGAAAGGTCTGGATATGAAATCGAGAAATCATGGTATCCTATGCTCATGAGATGACCTTTATTGGCAAGAAAATCCGCTGCCTTGTTGCATTCTCGGTAGATATGGGATACTTTGACTTTCCAGTTTTGTTGCAGTAAGTTCCTGAACTGCAGAGTCAGGTTGTAGTATCTCTGATCCTCCTGCTCTGGTGAGTCCTCCTGCTCTGATGAGGTAAGCACTCTAATTGCGGTGGTGGAGTCCAGCCTTAAAATAACCTTCTTGTGTCCTTGCCTCCACGCAGCCTGCAACCCTCTTATGGCAGCCTTGATTTCCGCACGAGTGATAGTGCAACACCCAAGGTTCTCCGTAAAGGCTCCAATGCACTTCCCTTGCCAATCTCGAATTAGCCCCCTGCAGCTGCTGCAGATCCCGGATGCCTAACTGAGCCATTTGTTTGGACACTCACCCAATCAGGCGGAGGCGGGTTCCAGACATGCTCTTGTAGCTTCTTCGGTTGGGTTTCCTCATGGGATGCTCCATCATTCGCTTGGGCTTGTTTGATGGTATCGGTCCAGCAACGGATCCTCTTCGCCAACACATGATTCTCATGATTCAGGTTGTGAAAACCAACTCGTTTCGATGCTTCCAAAGGTACCATGTTTCCACTCCAAATAGAAGACCTTCCTCCTTCCTTAGGTGTACTTCCAACCAGCCTGCAAATCCCAAACCGCAAGTGAGTACATTATCCTGAATACCCAGCAGCCTCCATACCTGTTGGGAGCACGCGCAGTGGTGCATTATATGCTCTGTCGCTACCGACCCATTTTTGTAGGCTGCACAAGAGTCATTGCTTGTCAACTTCCTTCTTTTCCGCTCCGTGTTTGTCATCAGCCTGTCATGAAAAGCAAGCCATAAAAAGTGTTTAATCCGGTTAGGACCCGACCATTTTCAAAGGCATTTCCATTGACTTTTGTTTTCTGCATTCGCCTCTTCAATTGCTTCTCATCTTAGCCATTTTGCAGCTACCAAGTAGGCAGATCGGAGCTTGAACTTGTCGTCCGGTTCCATTCCCCAAACTGTGATTTCTTCGCCAGAACCAGCAATCGGCGGGTCAGTTCCTGCAATCAAAGCAATCATATTCTGAGTTAGATGAGGTTTTATATCTGTCCACGACCACTCACCTTCACTCGTGGTCATCTCAGCCACCGTCGCATTCCAATTGATATTATCTCCATTTCCCAAGACATGCTCTCGTATAATAGTCTCCCTCGCCAACCACAGATCAATCCAAAACTGGACATTGCAGCCTTCCCGCATGTCCCAGACAATCCTTTCTTTTATGGTCGACCATATATCCACAATTCCTTTCCAAAGTCTTGAGTAGTTGGTTTTCTTCATGACTATGCCACCAGCATCATTAGTCTTGAAGTACTTCCTCTGCAGAACACTAATCCAGAGATCCTCCGAGTGGTTTAGGAAGCCCAGCCTAATTTCATCATATAGGCTAAATTGAGCGCTCGAGCCGATCGTAACCCAAGCCCTCCCTCCTCTTTAGGTTTGCATATCGTCTCCCACTTGACCAGATGGGTCTTATATTTGCCTTCTTCTGCACCCCACACAAAAGCTCTCACTTTCTTATCAATGATATCGCAAACAGAGATCGGGAGCACCGCCGTTTGCATCACATAGTTTGGCAGGGCGTTCAGAACCAAAATAGCTAGAGTGACCCTTCCCGCAAGGGATAAACTGTGTGCCTTCCACCCCGAAAACCTTTGATCAATCTTTTCAATGACGAACTTATAAGTGTCCTTGGTGACCTTCCCATGCAGAACAAGTACCCCCAAGTATCGACCGAGGTTACTAGTTCTCTTGATCCCCAACGTATCGCTGATCCTTTGTTTTACCCTCTCCTTGGTGTTTTTAGAGAAGAAGATACATGACTTCTCCTTGCTGACTTGTTCACCAGAGGCCCCACAAAATTGATCTAGGCACGCCAGGATTTCCTCCCCTTGTTTCTGCTCCGCCTCCGCGAATAACACCAGGTCGTCTGCAAAGAATAAATGAGTGAGAGGGGGAACGTTCTTAGACAAAGTAACAGGTTTCCAAGCGTTCTTATCAATTGAGTCTGTTATGCAATACTTTGAAGACAAAATCATTATCATTTACTTTGGCTATTTTGGTTTATATTACTGAAATCTAGACAAATCAGATCGGTAATGTTGCAGTTATGTTATGTAAATGGGAATTAAATGTCTAAATGCTTATTAAACTTAAGATGTATATATTTATTATGAGTAGAAGCTGGGGTGCCTATGTATATATATAAAGTGTGTATCTATATTTCTACCAAAAAAAATGTGCATCTATAACATAGATAGCACATTCTTTAAATATATCGTACGAGACACAAAGGGCAATCCTAGATGGTTGTTTATACTTCTAAACAATGCAGTGGAGTCCAGTTATGAAATTCGTATTCGTTACTTATTGTTTTTGCCCCTCATATTCATATTGAATCACTGTCATTCATTGACATGGCAATCAATAGGTCAACAATGGAAAATAGAACTGTAATAACTTAATTGTCACTTCCATCCCGGCGCAGAGCGCGAGCGAAAAAATCCTATTATGAATATAAAGGAAATCATCTTCTACCAAATGAGATGACATGCCCACTAATATGCCTATCAGCTTACTTGCACAATCTATTGCTAAATCTAGTTGGTTACAAGTTGGCTTTCGTCCCAATTCCGCCCTCCAAAATCCCATTCCTCTAACAAGAACTAGCTAGGGCTAAGGTAGGAGAGCAAAAAGAAAAAAAAGGGTGGAAAGGAAATTGTTACGAACACGCCAATGCAAAGTGTGACATTCGCATTGGGACTTGCAGACCAGTGCCTTTTTGCACAAAAACTGTATATTTGTAATTTCGTATACATACATACATACAATACAGAATACATACGCCCATTAATTAATAAATAAATAGTAACAATTAAATGCTTTTGCCCTAACATTTTGCTACCCGTCTTTTCTTTGCTTTTCTTCTCCTCTCTCTCTATCTCTACGCCTTTTCGACCTTTTGGCTTGTTCGGGCTAAGGGGTGACGTTATTTTGATTTCCTGATAGGAAGATAAGGCCCACTAGCTGCCCGCTGCCCGTTCCTTGTCGATGTGTCCCTCTTCTTTTCATTTGACTTTCTTTTCTCCTCCTCCTCTACCGCAATTAATAATGAGTCCCTCAACAAATTCACATTTACTATTCTGGTCCATCCTCCCTTAACCCATTTTGAAACTAACCAGGCAGAGTTCTTCTGAACCTTCAGATAATGGTTTGGATAATGGGCCACACAGACAAGAGAAGCATCAAAAGCTAGAATGGGATAGAGAGGGAGAGTGATACTGTGACTTAAAAGGGTGGACAGGGAAAGGGAAATTTAGCCCCACAAAAACCATATCAGTCCATCTCTTGCTTCATGTTGGGTTTGTTGGGGGAAAAAGGGGAAGTTGTGTTTGAAATAGAAAGTATTCTCTTTTTAGGTGGCGTGTGTTTAAAGAGTCATTAGGTTTAAGCTAAGTAGTGCTAGCTTTGGCAATACATTGGCAAAAACCTTGTTGGGGGAGGGATGAGATGGAAGAGCATGAGTTTGATGGACTATAACGATCATTTCGATCGGCTTTCTTCTGCAGTCGTCGTAATCGTACTGACTAAGTTAATGACAAAACTTGCTACATTCAGGAAGATAACTTCGAATTTTGTAGGATTAAAAAAGTTTGTTTAGTCATGATACTGACATATCATTCTGCATGATCAGCTAGCTGGGGAATTAGAAGTTAGGATTTTAGCAAATCACCTTCGTGTATATAACTCTTTATGATACAAGTGTTAGTCAGTGCTGTAAAATTCATATTGAACATCACTCAAAAATTCGAGTTATTGGATTCAAATCGACTCTTGACATTATATCATCGTCTTCGATGATCGATAAATCTTGTGTTCGATTTGTAATGACATCGATGTTAAACCCATGATATTTAGACTTGTGCAAAATTCAAGTCCAAATTTGTTTAAAAAGGTATGTTAGCAGATTATATAAAATTCATAATTGAATCTAATAACTCGATACCATGGTTCCAAGATCCATCACTTCCAACAGAAAAACTTTCACATAGCTCCGAGATTTTCGGAACGGCGAGAAAAACCCTACGCAAAAAACCCTCTCGGCGCGCTGATCTTCCATGGCCGCACCTGCGCCGGGGGGCACCCCTCCGAGCGCCGGTCAGGCTGAATCTAGTGCTGGCATCCGCCGGCCCCCGTCGGCAACTTCTTCCCCTAACGCGAAGGGAGAACGAGAAACCCAATAGCTGAAGAAGCGGGCGAAACCCATGATGGAAAACCCTCTTTTTGGATCTGATGATATGGCTGATGATACTCCTTCGCCGAGGGCAGGGGATGGGGGTGAGACTACTCGACAGAAGCAGGATAATGCATGGATGAACGATGGAGCACGTAAGCTCTTTAGGAATATGCATGTGGATGATGAGTGGTACGTGGCTGAATCGGACTCTGAAGATGTCGCAACTGCCATGAAGGAAGATGACCTAGACGATGAAGTTCCAGAAGATGATGACCCAAGGTGCCCCACGATAGCTTTTACGGCGATGGAAAAACAAAGATGGCGACGAGAGTGGCGGTCAGCACTCATCGTCAAAGTCCTTGGGCGTTCTTTTCCTTTCCCGGTGATTTCACGCAGACTTGAGACGCTGTGGGCTAAGACGGGCAATATTCAAGTAGCAAGTCTAGCCTATGGTTTCTATGTTGTTCGATTTACAAACCAGATTGATTATGAACGCGCATCGGTGGGCGGGCCGTGGATGATCAGTGACTACTACATTACCGTTCGACCATGGCGGCGGAATTTTAATCCGCAACTTGCAGAGGTTGCCTCGACTATGATCTGGGCTAGGCTGCCAGGCCTCCCCCGGGAGTTTATCAACAAGGAAGCCATAGAGCGTATAGCGTCACGTATTGGTAGGCCGGTCAGAGTGGATCGTGCAACGGAAACGGGGGACCGTGGACGTTATGGAAGAGTCAGTGTGGAAGTGGACCTTACTCGACCGCTCCTCTCCCAGTATAAAATAGAAGGGCTAACCTATTACATCGAGTATGAAGGACTGCACCGCATATGCACTGAGTGTGGAAAATATGGACATGCCAGAGTATCATGCCCGTTATTAAGACCCATAGACGAGCCCGTGCAGCCGAAACAGACACAGGAAGAGAAAGACAAGGCTAATGACTCTCCGTATGGGGAGTGGATGGTAGCGAAACCGAAGGGTAAAAATTGGAAGACGAAGTCAGCCACTCCTGAAGGTAACACTAATGCGACCCTAGGTGGCAATACCTCATCAATAGCCGCCAAAGAGGCCACAGGGTCACGCTTTGCGGTACTAGTGGAAGACTTGCAGAATTTGGAAGGAGCCAAGGATGCAGAAATGCGACATGAACATGACCATAACTCACAGGATGCGGAAATGGCGGACGAGGAAGCACTGACAAAAGAAAACACCCACCCCACCAACTTAGCCCAGCAGCCTCCCTCGGATAATTCAACTGGCGAGGGTGGGAACCAGGGTAGCACTGATTTGAGAAGCGTGGGACACCAAAGTGTACCTCAACAGCACAAACATGTTGGGGAAGTTCCCCAGGCAGCAGTAGTTGAGCGTTTGACGAGTGGGCATAGGCCCATAAGTGTGGGTACGGACTTGCTTCGGAGCCCCCAGACCTTTCATAATTCACAAGGAAACCGAAAGCAGAAGGCCCCGCAGAAGGAAACCTCAGCTAGTCTAAAGCAGCATGACGGAAAGCAGGGCGGGAAGGATAGAGTAATTAGTGGCGGGTCGAAGAATGGAATGAGCAAAAATGGTGCGGGGAACCTATCCCCTCCACGGATCAGATGAGAATTTTAAGCTACAACTGCCGCGGATTGGGGAATAAGCGTGCAGTGAATTCATTACGTGCAATTTTGCGACGTACTTCCCCCCATGTGGTTTTTCTAACGGAAACTAAACAGACAGTGACAGAGAATACGACTTTACGAGACTCGTGTGGTTTCAAATATGGTGAGAGCTGGCCAGCAAATATTTCCATACGGAATAGAGCGGGTGGATTAAGTATATGGTGGGGGGAGGAGCTGTCTATCACGATGATGGATATTTCTTTCAACCATGTGGATGTTGCAGTCGAGGAGGAAGGTGTAGGTACGTGGCGGTTTACGGGCATCTATGGATGGCCAAATAGTAATGATAAATGGAAAACCTGGGAGCTATTAACTTCACTGAGCCAACAATGGAATGGTCCATGGCTCTGTGGGGGAGATTTCAATCAGGTTTGTTCAGCTGAAGAAAAGAGTGGCGGTAGAGGTGATATAATCAAAGTTGCGCAGGGTCAAGCTTCTCGAACCAAACAGAACCAGATAGGATGGAAATCGATCGGACAGTACTCACCCGTGAATAAGGGCAATCGATATATGAATCGATCGGACAGATTCAACTCGGAATAAAGGGCAATCGATATGGGTAGCTCGCCACAACCAGGGTGATTACCTAGCTGATAAGAGTCGCTCTAGCACTCTGGAGATTCTCGACAGAGTAATTAGGGCAAATTCCGCATAGGGAACTCGGCTTTAGCCTCTGAAATTCAATAATAATCGTCTAATGGTAAAACCAACGTGTTCAGCCCTTTAAATAGGCAAAAAACAACCCAAATCCGACTCCAACATGGAAAAACAATCATAAACTGACTTTAAAACAGGGAAACTCGGAAACAGCCCAGCAAACCCGTTAAGCCTGGACCCGTTAAGCAAACCCGTTAAGGCTGCTTCTTGCAATCTGCCTTCTCTTCAGCACTTCCTCCTTCTTCCTCCACTCGAATCATCATATATGGCTTCCCTCGAAATAGCTCCACATCCATGGCTCCAAAGTAGCTCTCCAAATATGTCGCAAGCTTCTCCTTCAATGTCCTTGCCTTAGCACGTGTGACTGGCCCATTGATGTCCTCATCAGCCCCTCCTTCTTCAAAAGGATTTGCCCTCAAATCCGAATTGCCATCCAAATAAGGTGCAAGGTCAGAAACATTAAACGTTGCACTTACTCCATACTCTCCCGGCAAGTCGATCTTGTAGGCATTGCTTCCAATCTTCGAAACCACCTGGAAAGGACCATCACATCGGGGCATTAACTTTGATTTCCTCTGCTGGGGAAACCTCTCCTTCCTCAAATGCACCCACACCCAGTCGCCAACTTCAAAGTGCCTCGGTTTTCTGTTTTTGTTCACATTGCGCATGATCTGCTCCGTCCTTCTCTCAATGTTCAATCTCGCCTTCTCATGTAAACTCTTCACGAACTCAGCTTTCTTGGCTCCAGCGAGATTGACCTGCTCATTCAAAGGTAATGGCATCAAATCCAAAGGTGTGAGTGGATTGAAACCATACACGAGCTCAAACGGAGTGAACTTCGTCGTCGAGTGCACCATCCTGTTGTAAGCAAACTCTACATGGGGCAGGCAGTCCTCCCAAACCTTGATGTTGCTCTTGATCACAGCTCGAAGCATCTGGGATAATGTTCGATTGACCACCTCTGTTTGTCCATCGGTTTGAGGGTGACATGTAGTAGAGAACAACAGCTTCGTCCCCAGTTTGCTCCACAACGTCTTCCAGAAGAAACTCAGAAACTTAGTATCTCGATCGGATACTATGGAACGCGGCATCCCATGCAATCGCACCACTTCCCTGAAAAACAAATCAGCCACGTTAACCGCATCGTCAGTCTTATGGCATGGGATAAAGTGTGCCATCTTCGAGAATCGATCCACCACCACGAAAATCGAATCTCTTCCCTTCCTTGTCCGCGGCAAACCAAGCACAAAATCCATAGAGATATCGATCCATGGAGCATATGGAATCGGTAGCGGTGTGTACAATCCAGATGATTGCACCTTCGACTTGGCCTGCTTGCACTCCACACACCTCGCACACAGATTCTCCACGTCTCCCTTCATGTGCGGCCAATAGAAGTGCTCTTGTAGACAACTCAGCGTCTTGTCTACACCAAAATGTGCCATTAAGCCTCCTCCATGAGCCTCTTTCAACAGCAACTCTCGAAGTGATGATCGAGGAATACACAACTGGTTAGCTCGAAACAAGTAGCCATCACTTCGATAGAACTTCCCATCGCCATGCTGCTCACAAGCTCTATAGATCTCCCCAAAGTCAGTATCATCAGAATAGAGCTCCTTGATATGCTCGAAACCCAAATACTTCACCCCCATTGTCGTGATCAACGAATGTCTTCGAGATAGGGCATCAGCAACTACATTTTCCTTGCCCTGCTTGTACTTGATCACATATGGAAAGGACTCAATGAACTCAACCCATCGAGCATGTCTCTTGTTCAGCTTGTGTTGAGCTTTCAAATACTTCAACGACTCGTGATCAGTGTGAATCACGAACTCCTTCGGCCAAAGATAGTGTTGCCATGTCTCTAAGGCTCGAACTAGAGCATAAAGCTCCTTGTCGTACGTCGGATAGTTGAGGGCAGCCCCACTCAACTTCTCGCTGAAGTAAGCAATCGGCTTCTTCTCTTGCATCAACACTGCTCCAATTCCCAAACCAGAAGCATCACACTCCACCTCGAATGTCTTATTGAAATCCGGCAACATCAGAATAGGTGAATGCGTGAGCTTGTGCTTGAGCAGCTCAAATGCTCTGGTCTGCTCCTCTCCCCAATAGAACGTCACGTTCTTCTTGATGATGGATGTCAATGGTGCGGCAATGGTGCTGAAGTTGGGCACAAATCGACGATAAAATCCAGCAAGCCCATGAAAGCTCCGCACCTCATTCACGTTGGTTGGAATAGGCCAATCGCGAATTGCTTTCACCTTCTCTTCATCCACCTTGACTCCATCTGCACTCACCACAAAACCAAGAAAAATAACACTAGAAGTGCAAAACGAGCACTTCTTGAGGTTAGCATACAATTTCTCCTTTCTCAACATCGCCAACACCTCTCTCAAGTGATTGAGATGATCCTCCATGCACTTCGAGTAGATCAGAATGTCGTCGAAGTATACGACCACGAACTTGCCAATGAATGGCCTCAAAACATGGTTCATCAGCCTCATGAAAGTGCTAGGAGCATTGGTTAAACCAAAGGGCATCACCATCCATTCGTATAGACCCTGCTTGGTCTTAAACGCAGTCTTCCACTCGTCTCCCTCCTTCATACGAATTTGGTGGTAACCTGATCTCAAATCAATCTTGGAAAACACCGTAGAGCCATGTAATTCATCAAGCATATCATCTAATCGTGGAATTGGATGACGATACTTAACTGTAATTTGATTGATGGCTCGGCAGTCTACACACATCCGCCAGGTGTGATCCTTCTTTGGCACGAGAATCACCGGAACTGCACACGGGCTCAAACTTTCTCGAACATGCCCCTTCTCCATGAGCTCGTCAATCTGCCTTTGCAGCTCTTTGGTCTCTTCCGGGTTAGCTCGATATGCTGCCTTGTTTGGAATTTGAGCTCCCGACACGAAATCAATTTGGTGCTCAATTCCTCGAATAGGAGGCAGCCCCTTCGGTGCTTCCTCTGGAAACACATCCTCGAACTCATCCAACACCACTCTTGCTTCGGCTGGAACTTCTTGGACTAGCTCTTGATTGAGCAGCACGTCCCTGTACATGAGCACAATCAAAGGTTCTTGTGCACAGGCAGCTTGCTTCAAATCTCCATTGCGTGCTAGCATCACTGCCTTGGAATCCACAATTCCAGCTCCCTCTTCTCCTTTCTTGGCCGAGGCATTACTTGCCTTTTCTTGCTCTCGACGTTGCTGCATTTGGAGTTGATCTCGATATACTTCACTTGGAGACAGAGGCTTAGCCTCCATCGATCACTAGAGACAGCAACTTCCCATCAACTACACATCTCGTATGGAAGATATTTTCTCTCTGTTCACTCTCCTCCTTAGGCTGCACAGACAATACTCTCCGTGCTACAAACAAGCTGCCAGGAGGTGGTTCCATTTCCATAGACTCATCGACATCATAATCGGTGGTCTCTTCCTCTTCCTCCGATACATACTCACCATTATCAAGCAAGATCAGGGTCTTCTTATTGGCACACTGGCTCGCAATGTGTCCTCTTCCATGGCATTTGAAACAACGAATTTCCCCCGACGATCCACCTTGCTTCATAACTGGATTTGCACCATCAGCCCTTGCCGCGGGTCTAGGAGCTTCTTTCACGGGCAGTTGCGGCTTAGGATTGGTTGCAACTCCTTGGCTTGAACGTGTGGAATTCATGGAGGGTTGAAACCTCCTATTTCGAAGCTGTCGTTCCACTTTACTTGCCATATCCACCAAATCTTCAAGTTCAAGGAACGGTTGTATCTCCACCACGTTCTTGATCTCTCGATTGAGACCATATAGAAAACGAGCTATGGTAGCCTCGCGGTCCTCTCTCACATCAGCACGTATCATCAACACTTCCAACTCCTTGTGATAATCTTCAACGCTTTTAGTTCCTTGCCGGAGAAGCTGGAGGTTTTGATACATATCTCGCAAATGGGAACTCGGTACAAACCGATCCCTCATAATTCCTTTCATCTCATCCCACGTCTCAATAGGACGCTGCCTGTTTCTCCTTCGTTTCGTTCCCAACTGATCCCACCAAACAAGTGCATAATCCGAGAACTCTAGGGCAGCCAATGTCACTTTCTTCTTCTCGGAGTAGTTATGACAATCAAACACTAGTTCCATCTTTCGCTCCCAATCCAAATAAGCATCAGGGTTCGTGGTACCGCGAAAAGGTGGAATCGTGACCTTGAGGTTTCGCAAATCATCATCCTCCTCAAAGCCCTCTTCTTCCTCGTCATTAAACTCCTCTTCATGATGTTGCTGCCGCCCTCTCCTTTCAGCTCGAGGCATTCCAAGGCGTCTATGCTGGCGCATATGACGCTGTACTTCGTGAACCAAGGGTGGAGGAGCTCGGTTTTCCCTTCCCCTTTCTTCTTGTCGAGGTCTAGGGTTAGGGTTTGCATCAACCACAACCGGCTGCTGGAGCCTTGTTTCGACAGCCTCCATCCTCGTGGCTTGCTCGGCAAGCCTTGCGGTTTGCTCTTCTTGAGCACGAGCAATGTTCTCCAATTGATTTCTGATCGCTTCGAGTGCTGCTTCCATGTTTGCGATGCAAGAAAACTCCAAGAACACAAGAACTTAACAAGAACTCGCACAACCCGCTTCTTGCCTCGCAAGAAACACCAAGAACTCCCAAGAACAAACAACCTCCTGTCTTGCGGCTCAAGAACACGCCAAGACCTTCAAGAACTCGCACAAAACCACCAAGAACACAAACAAGAACACACAAGATCTTCAAAAACTTCAAGAACACGCCACTGATTTGAACCTTAGCTCTGATACCACTTGATATAATCAAAGTTGCGCAGGGTCAAGCTTCTCGAACCAAACAGAACCAGATAGGATGGAAATCGATCGGACAGTACTCACCCGTGAATAAGGGCAATCGATATATGAATCGATCGGACAGATTCAACTCGGAATAAAGGGCAATCGATATGGGTAGCTCGCCACAACCAGGGTGATTACCTAGCTGATAAGAGTCGCTCTAGCACTCTGGAGATTCTCGACAGAGTAATTAGGGCAAATTCCGCATAGGGAACTCGGCTTTAGCCTCTGAAATTCAATAATAATCGTCTAATGGTAAAACCAACGTGTTCAGCCCTTTAAATAGGCAAAAAACAACCCAAATCCGACTCCAACATGGAAAAACAATCATAAACTGACTTTAAAACAAGGAAACTCGGAAACAGCCCAGCAAACCCGTTAAGCCTGGACCCGTTAAGCAAACCCGTTAAGGCTGCTTCTTGCAATCTGCCTTCTCTTCAGCACTTCCTCCTTCTTCCTCCACTCGAATCATCATATATGGCTTCCCTCGAAATAGCTCCACATCCATGGCTCCAAAGTAGCTCTCCAAATATGTCGCAAGCTTCTCCTTCAATGTCCTTGCCTTAGCACGTGTGACTGGCCCATTGATGTCCTCATCAAGAGGAGTTCATGAACAAGAGATGAGCAATTTTGACGACTGTCTCCGAGAGGCAGGGCTCCAAGACTTGGGCTTCCATGGTTACCCTTTTACATGGGAGAATAGGCGGGCCTATGGAGGTTACATAGAGGAGCCTCTTGATCGCTTTGTGGCAAATGATGGATGGCGACAATTTTTTGCTCAAAACCGGGTACAACACTGTGATAGGGCAAGCTCCGACCACCGCCCAATTACATGTGACACTCGAGGAGCCGAAGATGTGGAAATTCGATGGGGGCGATCCTTTCGGTTTGAGCCTTACTGGTCGAAACACATGGCTTGTGCAAGCATCGTGGAGCAGGCCTGGAACTTGGGTGGATCGAACATTCTACATAGAATGTCAGCTTGTGGTCAGAAATTGGAGGAGTGGAGCCAAAGTACTTTTCCCCAGTTCACTAAACAGAAGGATTGGATTAACCGGGCATTGAGGGCGCTCGAAAGAATGCCAAAAACCGAGGGAGTCTTAGAACAATGCCGAGCTCTGGAAAGGGAAATGGCGGACTGTTTGGACAACGAAGAGCAGTACTGGCAGCAGCGATCAAGAGTAGGATGGCTAAAGGGTGGGGACAAGAACACTAATTTCTTCCATAGAAAAGCATCAGCCAGGCGAAAACGGAACTCAATTAGAAGAATTAGAGATGAAGCAGGGAGGTGGTATGTAGGGCAGGATGGAGTTACCTCATGTATGATGCAATATTTTGAAAAACTGTTTACGGCAGGGGAAGCTCCTATGACCTGGCCAGTGCTTGACTCGATCTCGCCGCGGGTCACCAATGAGGATAATGAAGCCCTTCTGCAGCCGTTTACTCGGGAAGAAATTTTTGGGGCCCTTAAGCAGATGGGGAAACGGAAGGCTCCAGGAGCTGATGGCCTATCAGTGTTCTTCTTTCGAAAATATTGGGACATTATCGGGGAGGAAGTGATAGCTGCAGTTCTGCAGATTCTTACAACAAGAGTTTTACCAGAGGGCCTAAACCATACTCTCATCGCCCTAATTCCGAAGACGAAGCAGCCGACCTCCCCAAAGGAGTACAGGCCCATAAGCTTGTGCAATGTCTTGTACAAGATTGTGTCGAAGGTCCTGGCGAACAGAATGAAGTCACTGCTGAACAAGATAATCTCTCCACAGCAGAGCGCTTTTGTGCCTGGGAGATTGATCACGGACAACATCATGGCAGCTTTTGAGTGTTTCCATACGATGAAGAAAAGTAAAAAATGGAAGCATGGTTTCTTTGCAGCGAAGATTGATATGGCCAAGGCCTATGACCGGGCGGAGTGGAATTTTTTGGAGGGAGTAATGCGTCGCCTGGGTTTTGATGAACAGTGGATCAAACTCGTTATGATGGGTGTGACTTCAGTTTCATATTCTGTGTTGGTCAACGGCCATCGCTCTCCTACTTTTTCACCGAGTAGGGGCATTCGGCAGGGTGACCCTCTCTCACCTTATCTCTTCCTGCTGTGTGCGGAGGGATTATCGGCCTATACAACCCAGGCAATGACAGAAGGCCGGTTGCATGGGCTGGAGGTGGTTAGGGGAGCCCCGGTGATTACCCATCTCTTTTTTGCTGACGATAGTATCTTTTTTGCCAGGGCAACACAACAGGAGAGCCTGGAGTTAAAGAGTATCCTACAGGCATATGCACGAGAATCAGGGCAACTTGTCAATTTTCAGAAGTCAGAAGTTTCGTTTGGAGCTAACGTTAAACCACATAGCAGACTTGTTGTGGGTGGTACTCTTGAGATGAAGATCGTGGAGAAGCAGGACAAGTATCTCGGCCTGGTGACAGAAGTGGGCAGATCCAAAAAAGCCCTATTCGAGGGTCTCAAAGAGAGGGTGAAGCAGAAATTGAAGGGCTGGAAGGAGAGAGTGATGTCGACGGCAGCTCGTGAAGTGTTGATTAAATCAGTAGCACAGGCCCAGCTCACATACGCCATGTCTGTCTTTAAGATTCCGGATGGGATCCTAGATGAGGTGCATCGGTTAATCCTCAATTTTTGGTGGGGTCAAAAGGGGAGTGAGCGGCGAGCACACTGGCTGCGCAGGGAAGAACTGGTGATGTTGAAGGAGGATGGAGGTATGGGTTTCAGGGATATGAAGGGCTTTAACATGGCGCTCCTAGCAAAACAGCTCTGGTCCCTTAGCCAAAGACCATCATCGTTGATAGCAAGAATTCTCAAGGCTAAGTACCATAAACACTGCTCGATACTAGACGCGAATATTGGGTATAACCCGAGCTATATCTGGAGGAGTTTGATGGGGGCACAAGAATTCTTATGCAAGGGGCTTCGATGGCGGATTGGAAATGGAGAGCAAGTGAGAATCTGGGGCGACCGTTGGCTGCCGGAAGGGCCGAGCACTTTTGTCACTTCGGCCCCAAGGGAGCTTCCTGTCGATGCATATGTTCGAGATCTTATAGAGCCGGAGACAGAGCGATGGGATGAGGCTTTGCTGACGAGATGCTTCCCCCAGGAAACAGTCCGCTTGATACTCACCATTCCCCTGCGTGGGCGAGAGGTACAGGACCAGCTCATTTGGCATAATAATGACCGCGGCATGTATACTGTGAAGGACGGCTATCGACAGTGGTTAGAAGGGTATGTGGCTGAGGAAGGCATCCAAGCCAGGGGAAGCAAAGAAATATGGAAGCAGCTCTGGGCGTTGAACATCCCACCAAAGGTGAGGCAATTCTTATGGAGATTCGCCAGAGAAGTTTTACCTACAGGTCAGAAAATCAGTGCGCATAATGAACGGCGGAGTGACATCTGCCCCTACTGTAATGAGACGGAAACCCAGATCCACCGTTTCCGCGAATGTAGTTGGAGCTCTAGAATCTGGCGAGGGTCACCTCTTGCGGCAGTGTTTGACGTACCGGAAACGATGGATTGCTTGACATGGATGTCGAAGGTAGCTAAGGAGCAGCCGAAGGAAGTTTTCGAGGAATGGGCAACTTTGCTATGGGCCCTGTGGAATGAACGAAATGCTCAGTGCTTCAATGGACATAAGTGGCCGGAAGATGAAGTGGTGATGCGAGCTTTGGCTTTCCTCCATGAATACCAACGGAACCAGAAGGAAGAAATCATAGAAGACAGCCAACCTGCCAGGTGGGATCGGCCGCCAGTAGGGTGGACGAAAGTAAATACTGATGCTGGCCTACTGCCTGAAGGGGAGGGAGCTGGTCTCGGGACTGTTATACGCGACTACCAGGGCCGGTTCATAGCAGCGGCGGCCAAAAGAGTACGGGGCATACACAGTGTGGAGATGGCGGAGGATCTCGCAGCAGAATTCGGAGTTCAGCTGGCTAGGCAGCTGGGGATCAGGCGCATTGTGCTAGAAATGGACTGCCTTAATGTGGTTACCTACCTTCGAGACGAGGCTCCTATAGCTAATGAAGTTGGTATCATTTGCAGCAGTATCAAGCATTACTTTGGCCGAGCGAATCTGGGTGCTGAGTTGGTACGTCACACTCGGCGGGAAGCTAATGAAGCAGCTCACATTATGGCTCACAGTGGTACCCGATGGGATAGCAGAGAAGTGTGGCTTGATTGCCCACCTGTGTTCTTAATTGACTAGCTCAGTCTGGATAATGTAACTGACAGTGCTGCATAATTTTATATAAAGCAGGTTACCTATAAAAAAAAAAAAAACTCGATACCAAATTATTATATTTAACCGAGGTTGAGAACCAATAAGCCAAAAATGGAGGGTCAATTTTCGCAAATACGGATAAAGTCAGGGGGCACGAAGTGAAATTAAGACCAACTAATCCCCGCACATAATATAATCAGATTAAGGCGGGAGATTAATTGAAATTTGATTAGCCTTCCTGTTTCCGTACTGTCTTCCACAAAGGCACAAACCAAAGATTGGGCACTCCATTAAGCCTCCATTAAACCTCTCTTCTTTAGTTCTCTTTCTCATCCACTCTCTCGCAGAGGAAAAAATAACAACTCCGTCTGCACAGAAAAAGAGGAGGGGAGACCAAAGCGCCATTCCGCGCTACCCAACACTCTCTCTAGTTCCTTCTTTCCTCCCTCTTCTTCCTCAGAGTATCTATCTGGCAGCGACGGTTCTTCTTCTCTCAAACAGATTTTTCGCCATCGGAATTCTCCCTAATCCCATGGCGGATCTGTACGGTGCAGCTCCATCCCCTCCTTCCGCCGCCCCGCCTCCGCCCACCGAGACAGAGGAAATCTCGTCTTTCCTCCACCAGTTCCTCCACAACACTTCCTCCGCTTCCTCCCCCAAATTCATGTTCCACCACCCTCACTTCTCATCTCCGCCGCCGCCAAATCAGCACCACTTCCCACCTCCACCGGACGCCGCCCTGCCGCTGGAGTTCCTGGATCGCCACCACCGCTCCAACTCCGGCGTCAATTTCTCCGATCCCAGTCTCTACTTCGGCAGAGATCCCCGCGGTGTCGAGGACGCTGCCGCCGCCGACGCGGCGGCGGGATCGAAGCGGGGATGCGTGACCGTGGAGAATGATCTCGGGTCCGGCGATTTCAGCTGCGACAGTGGGGTGAGATTGGGAATGAATTCATGCCTCTTTTTTTAGGTCTTCGAGGAAAGAATTTATTGGGTTTAGCGAGGGATTATGGGGTTTAATAGTTGTTTAATCTTCCTAATTAAGGAGTGTGGTTTAAATCTTAATTTAATATGGATATCCATTGTTTAAGGGCGGAGAAGGGTCAGAGATGCCTGCGGAGACAGGAGGAAAGCCTCGAGGCTCGTCCAAGAGGAGCAGAGCAGCAGAAGTTCACAATTTATCTGAAAAGGTTAGGCCGTTTTCAGCTAAAAAGCATAACAGAACAGTATTAATTATCTTTGTTTGACATCTAAATTTGAATTAATTGTTTGGGTTGTACCTAATTATCTTATCCTGAAATGGGTGAGCAGAGGAGGAGAAGCAGGATCAACGAGAAAATGAAAGCTTTACAGAACCTGATACCAAATTCTAACAAGGTGAGATAAAAGGTTCTCGTCTCTGAATTGAAAAGCTTTTTTGGTGGGAGTTGACTGATTCTTGATAGAATGTTCTGCGGCTTTTGCTTGTCGTATTCCTTGTATTAGACGGATAAGGCATCCATGCTGGATGAAGCCATTGAATACTTGAAGCAGCTTCAGCTCCAAGTCCAGGTCCGTTATCTTTTCCCCTTTAAATGGTTGATGATCATATGTAGTAGTTAGTTCCTAGTCTGAAGCTTATCTGTCACAACCAGCAAAGGTAATGCATGGATCCAAAAGCTTGGATCTTGGTTTACCTCATGCAAATGGTATCACAGTGAACTAAGGATCTTGGTGAGTCATTCAAATGGATCTAGCTGTTGAAGTGTTTGACATTAGAAGTTTATGTCTTGGTTCAGACCTTACCATCTTGTTATACTTTGCCTGTCTAGTTGGGATGAAATGAATGAAGCATCAAATTGATGTTCTTGCACTAACTTCTAATGTGCGACCATAAGTCAATCCCTACCGGAACTATAAAGGCTTGAACTTTATTCTCATGTGCTTGCCACCTTCTTGAAGCCATGTGTTTTTCATTCTTTAAAAGGTTAGAAGTGCAAACCAGTCTCTTGAAAGTCTATTTCAAGTGTAAGTTAGGTCCAGGTCTGAGGTGTGATTGCATAAGCTGACTGGAAAAGATGATCTTTCTGTTGAATTTAGGTTTCAGCTGTGACAATGACGGGTGTAGGGATATCTGTGGTCTCTATCAGAGCTTGTTGTTTCAATCCAATAGGAGAAACGTGCTGCAAAATGTGTTTTAAGGGACCCCTTTTCATTCGTTTTCCTGCCCCCAAATGAGCTTAGTTAGAGTTCAAGGAATGTTATTGTTTTGGTTTATTGAATGTTCGAGGAATGTTATTAACATGTCATTAACATCCATCTTTCTGTCTTTATTGTGGGTTTCTGCAGATGTTGACATTGAGGAATGGATTAAGTTTACATCCAATGTGCTTACCTGGACTACTACAGCCAATGCAACTGCCTCTATCAGGATTGAGTTTCGAAGAAGGAAATGGACTGATGAATACCACTACATTAACGGGTACCTTCTCTGCAAATGAAGAAACCTCTGCTGCTCAACCTGGTCTTAATCTTCCTAACCAGTGTACAGTATCGAATCAGCCACCTTCCGGAACAAACAACATTCCCTCTTCTTCTGAGAACCCTTTTGCTTTCGAGCAGCCGTACCATGTTCTTTATGGGTCTCTTAATCTAACCTCATCATCTCCAAAGGTATAAATCTCAGAATGTTCGTCACTGAATCTAACCAACTCTGTCCTCCTCAAGAGAGCTCACCATTCTTTGTTTTTCTTGTATCTGAAGGAAATCTGCAGGGAAGGTACATCAGCAGCAGCAGGAGCATCACAAGTAGATACTACGAACCGAGCTTTGAATACCTCTTGATCGGGGGTTTCATAAGTGACCCCTTTTGATTAACACCAGCGGCAGGATCGCCTACCAACAGTTACCCTCCTTCCTCGGTTTCTCTCTTACGCTGAATACCATAGAAGCTGCTGCAACTTTAGTACTGAAAGTGAAAACTGCTGCTGTTGCTGACGAATGACACTTTTTGCCTTTTGATGATGTTATAAAGTTGTAACAGGGTATCACAAATTTGTGACAGACAAGGACAACCCTTTGGTTAACTTCAATAGAAATGCTGCTATGTTTCCTCTTCTTCAATGACAAAAAAGCCAGGAGTTTTCCAAGATTAATGAAAGGGTTAGCTAAATTGCATAAAAAATGAAGTGTCGGTGTGGCAAAGTAGAGCAATTATTTGTAGGAGGGAAGGAAGCTTGAGTAAAAGTCTGTCAGTGATGGGAGGAGTGACGTTCACTGAAAATGAAATCATTTCTTCGGCTTAAAAAACCCGAGAAAAGGCTTTCCTGAAACTGAAATGGAAGCTTTATGTTAATTTATTTTGATAATGTTGACTCATATTGTTCAAAAACCATGAAGATGTTACAGATATATAGACGGTTACAGTTTGCAAGAACTAGAGGGATACCCAAACTCTGAAGTTTTCTCTAACCACATCTATGAAACTAGCAGACGCAGTTGTTTTTTCAGGGTTAAAGACACATTTGGTCACTGAGATTACTAAATTGGGACATGTTTAGTCACTAGAAAAAATTAATATAAATTTTAGTCACTCGAATTACTGGAACAGGTCACATTTAGTCACTCTCCGTTAGTCTCCGTCCAACTCTGTTAATGAAGTCTGTTAAGTGCTGATGTGGCAAACAGAGGTGCCTAGTCAGCGCCGTTTTGAGTCGGAAATGGTCAAACCCGACCCGCCACGTCACTAAACCCGCCATGTCATATGCCCAACCAACCCATGCACCCACCCGACACATAAACCAAACCCAACCTTTCTGATTCCACTTCTCTTCTCCGATTCCTCCTTTTCCTTTCCATCTCCCCCCATCTCTCCCTTCTGATTTCTTCCTCCAATCCCATACAAAACCCAATCGTTTTTCACGTCTCCAAAGATTCTGCAACTCTTCAGTACACCACCGTCATCCGCAACTTCAATTTGCTCCAATCCATCAAGCTCGTAATCAATCTCTAACAGGAGATATTCAAAGAAATCAAGGAAAAAGCAACAATTGAAAGGGTTGAATTCTCAGTTCCCAGAGGGTTTCTTCGCGGCCGACGTTCAGCAACAACAACAGTAGCGATGACTTCTTTTCCTGATTCAAAACCGCCGGCTGGGCTTCTAAAATTTTTGGGTTTGAGTTGACAAGAACGGAGTTCTAGTAGCGGGATTACAGATATGCCGGTGTTCGTCTGCGAATCGGACTTGGCGGCTTCTCTCATGGTCGCCGGAGAGAAGGATTGACCGGACTGAGTACGAGCGCCGGGAAGATGATGATGCTGGTCGTCGGATTTCTCGACGGTAGGTTATGGCCGAGCCGACTTCAGATTTGTCGGATGGAGATGTTTGGCAGTGATGTTTTTGTTGTTGTCGATATGGGTTTCTCGACAAGATGGTCGCCGGAGTTGAATGAGGCGGTGCTTTGACTCCAGCTGATTCGTCGCCTTTTTCTTTCGCTTCCAGACGACGGCTGGGGATGCGGGAATGGTTGATTTCAGATCTGCTCCACTTCGGCACTTCCTCACGTCTTGGGTCCGGAGATCCCGATCGTCAGCGGTCTGGATTCATCGATTGTAGCTTGTTGCGGCAAAGCATTTGTAACAACCGGCTTTTTGATTTTTTTTTTTTTTTGTGAATGTAGATCAGATTGTTGTGGAGAGAAATGGGAAAGGGATTTTTTTGGTTGGGTTGGGATTTGGAGGAAGAAATGTAACAGAGGAGACGAACAGATTTGGTGTTGGGTTAGGTTGAATAGGTTTGCAGGAGGAGGTGGGAGAAAGGAGGAGAGCAGCTGCAGTGGTGGTTTTGGGGAAAGGAGGAGGTGAGAGGAAGGAGGAAGAAAGGTTTGGTTGGGTTGGGTTGGGTCTTGGGTTGGGTTTAATGACGTGGCGGGTCGGGTTTTATTTTTCTTGGGTTATATCTGGCTTATAAGGCAATTCTGTTTGCCACATCAGCACTTAACGGACTTCATTAACGAAGTTGGACGGAGACTAACGGAGAGTGACTAAATGTGACCTGTTTCAGTAATTCGAGTGACTAAAATTGATATTAATTTTTTCTAGTGACTAAACATGTCCCGATTTAGTAATCTCAGTGACCAAAGGTGTCTTTAACCCGTTTTTGCAGAGGGTATTTTCATAAAAAATTTAGTGATTTTTTGAAAAGTAATTTTCTTGAATTATGACTGCTACAGATGATGGATATTGTTTTAGACTATTTTTCACCAATGATTAAGTCTATTAAACACTGATTTGGGCGGATTTTTTCCGTGACCATTTTTGGAAGATTCCAAAAGGGTGTACTATTACATATTTCATGCAATTTTTTCAAAAGGTCATTTTCCATGAATTTTGAAAACTACAGATCATGGATTCTGTCTGTGGTTATTTTTCACCGATGATTAAGTCTATTAAGCATCGACTTGGGCGGATTTTTCCGATTCCATTTTTGGCAGATACCAAAGGGGTACCATCAAGATTTCATGTGATTTTTTTGAAAAGTCATTTTCCTTGGATTTTGAAGGCTACAACCTACAGATCACGAATTCAGAACGAGGCTATTTTTTACCGATGATTAAGTCTATTAAACATCAAATTGGGTGGATTTTTTTCCGGTGCCATTTTTGGCAGATTTCAAATGGGTACCATCACAAATTTCAGACAATTTTTTGAAAAAC